TTGTTTGAAGATAAGTGACCTGGTAGAAGGTGTTCATCAGTGTGGCAGTCCTGTCTGAGCGCCAGCTTCCCCTGGCATGGCTCTATAGCATGGGGGAGTCCTTCTTGTCCTTTGGAGCCTCAGGGTGATTGGGAGCGCTGGTGGGAAGGCTGCTGCCCGTGGAGTTGTGGCTAGCCGCAGATACAAGATTCATTAGGTCAAAGGGCAAAGGGAGGACGATGGTGGAAGGTTTCTCGGCAGACAGGCATTGCAGCATGTGCAGGTAACGGAGCTGGACAGCAGCTGGGGAGCTGGCTAAGATCTCGGCTGCCATCTTCAGGGATTCAGAGGCAGCCTTCTCCCCCTCGGCAGCGATCACCTGCAGTACAAGGGAACGAACGGCTGTTTCTGCACCATTCCACTGGGTTGGCCCCACCGGGGCTGGCAGGAGCTGTGAGGGCCTGGCTGATGGGAGCTGACATTGTTTCTTATAGTGAGGCTGAGTGAAGATGCTAGGCTGGAGTCGCTGCAAGCTCCCCCCATGGCCAGTGTTCCTGCCTTAGTCTCTGCAGTGCCTCCTGCTGAGCAAAGGAGGGAGCGGAATAGCCCATGCAGCCAGAGTTCCTCTATCATGTCTCTGCTGTGCCCTCTGCTGGGAGAGGTTGGGACTGCAGCAAGGCGCTGCAGCACCTACCTCCTCCTGTGTTAAAGCGGGGTTCCCCAGCCTGTGGGTCAAGTACCCCTAGGGCTGGTCAGAGGGGGCTTCCTGAGGATCTCGACTGGGCAGAGCCCTCCTGTGGAGGAGGGCTATAGAAGAAGCAAAGGAGGGAGCAGCCAGTCCAGGGTTTGGGAGACAGGCACTGTGCACCAGCATTTAACCTGCCCTCTCCTGTTAGGATGCCCCTTCAGCTCAGTGCAGGGACAGAGGCAGCCCTCGACTCAGCCAGCAGAGAGCACCAGTTGGAAGAGTTTGATAAAGGGACTGTTCCATGCCACAGAAATGGCTGGGCTCCAGAGAGGGACATTGGGGGGAGGGATAGCTCAGTGGTTTGAGCATTGGCCTGCTAAACCCAAGGTTGTGAGCTCAATCCGTGAGGGGGCCATTTGGGGATTTAGTTTGTCCTGCTTTGAGCAGGGGTTGGACTAGATGATCTCCTGAGGTCCCTTCTAACCCTGATATTCTATGACAGGCATTGCAACACAGAGTGTGGAGGGGCAGTGCTGCTGGGGGAGAGAGAGCCCCTTAGGGTAGGGAGGGGTGCCCCTCCCATTGCAGGGAGCAGCAGGGCAGTGCTGTGAGCAGGAAGGCATATAGGATGAGGAGCCAGTAGAGGTAGGGACAGCTGGGCCCTTGGGGGAATCTCCTCTCCTGGTGGTGTATAGGGTCTCTGTCCAAATGGCTGGGAATTGATCCACGTGGGAATATGGGGCATTCGCTGGTGTCCTACCCGCACTTTGGCCTGTCTCTGGGCCTCTGCTTCCACTGCCAGGGACTGCTGCAGTTCAGTGGGCAGCCGCACGTGGTTGCTGCAGGAGGAAGAGACCGGAGTTACACGGACCCTGGAACTCCACACCCACGGGTAGTGCCAGGCTGCTAGCCTGTCTGACACTGTGCCCCAGGGTCTCCTTCCCGGGCTAAGGCAGGTTACAAAAGCCCCTGGAGTTTGGATTTTCAGCCTTCCAATCTCATCTCCCATCCAGCTGGTCCCAACCCACCTAGCACTGGAATCAATGGGGGCCTTCCCAGGGACACTCTGATTCTTGGACTAGGGTCTGTTGTTGGCCAAGCTGTGCTTTTCTCCTTTGGAACCGGGTCGGGAAATCTGAATTGCAATAACAGTGCCAGATCCCCAGCTGGTGTAAATGGGTGTAGCTTTGATGACATCCATGGCACTAGGCTGAGTTACCCCGCTGAGGAGCTGCCCCAGCTGGAAAACACAAGAGCTTTTCGTGCCATTTAAACATTTGCAGCCCAGTGAGTGGAGGTGCTGAGTATGTGGGCAAAGGAGAAGGGCTGGGGGCTCAGGGCGCTGAAGAGGTGACACCTGGATAGAGCTTCAGGGGCAAAGGTGGAAAAGGAGCAGACATTAGCAAGCAGTGTTTGCAAAGGGTCACGAGGAGGTTTCTTTACCCTGCTGGGTCTCCGCTTCATATGTTTCCTACCTACATTTCTGTTCTCTCCACCTTGATTCCCCAGCGACATGTGACTGCATCCAAGGTGACCTGTAGAGATGGGAATATACTGACCGTAGGCAGTGTGTGTGGCATTGTGCCAAGGCACTTACAAACAAGTCAAACATATGGTTCACTGCATGAGAGCTCATGTTGGAGGGATGTGTCTGTTATGGATACTTATGCATGCTACAGAAAAACACTTCTGGTTAAAAGGCTCAAGCGTCCCTAAAGGTTGGACACCAAGAGAAATCCCTGTAGAGGGCAGGGCAAGGAGGTAGGCTGCCATGTGCGTTTTCATTGCTCTTGGCTTCTGGGTCTCACACTGTGCTCAGGAAGATTTGCTCCCAGAGAAGTCAGCTGACTCAGAAGTACCATTGCTGCCTCAAAAAATCCAGTTCTGGTATAACTCCACTGAAATCAGCAGGGTGGGGCCCACTTACACCAGGCCTGAACTTGGCCCTGGATGTGTCATTTGAATCTAGATGGCTGATCATTTCCCAGCTTGGATTGCTTCCCCCAAACCCCTCTCAGCAGCTGGATTTGTGTCCGCTTTGCTGCAGCTGGCGGAGAAACCCACCGATTCCCTGCTTTGTCTGTGGCTGCGGCCCATCAGGACTGCGTTTTGCCAAAGCACTTTGCCCTCGGACAGCCTCTTGAATCCAAGGGATTCAAAGTATAATCATCACACTGTTGCCTTCCATTGGGTGAAGCAAGTCACCTGACGCTATGACTGATCCCTGCAACTGATCACTGTGGGCTTCTTATAGGCCTTTCCCTGAGGCCCTTATACACTTTCAATGTAGGTTGAAAGATCGATCTACAGCACTGCTCCAGAGCTTTGGCCCCACAGCTGCCCACCTCCACGTGGAGATACCTTCATTTCCTGGCCAATGCTCTTCCTCTCCAGGAGGATTTCACTGAAGGATCGATGGGCCAGCAAGCGCTTCATGGTTGTCTGCACCAGCAGCTGGACAGCGCTGGAGAGGTTGGCCACGCTGGTTAGGAGGAGAGAGGCATTTTCCATCCGGTAGTAGCAGACAGCATCTATTTCCATAGTAACCATGTCTTTGGTCACCACCTAGACAGAGAATTTGGGGGTGATGGAGCTGGTTCTGATAACTCTAGGGTGGGATGGAGGAGCTGGGAACACTGCAGGAGAGGGAAAAATGGCCTTGTGGGTAAGGCATTGGGCTGGGACTCAGGAGATCTCAGGGATTCAGGTGCTAGCTCTGCCCCAGACCAACTGTGTGACCCTGGGCAAGTCACTTTGCCTCTCTTTTCTCTCCCACTGTTGGCCTGTCTTGTCTATTTCACATGTAAGTGGTTTGGGCAGGGACTGTCTCTTACTATGTGTGTGCAGCGCCGAGCACAATGTGATTATCACTGACTGTTATGGCAGTGTCCACTGCATGCTAGAAGTCATGCAGGACGGTCCCTGCTCCAAGCTGCTCCCACACTAAGAATCTCGGGTGGGGGCTCTAGATACTGCTATTAACTAATAATGCAGCCGGATATAAGGCATGCAGGGAGAGGGAGCCAAGGAAAGAAATGGGGGGGGAAAAAAAGGATTTGGGCATAGGGAGGGCCGCTCTGCACTGGCCTGTGCCTGCCTAGACCCTGGAAATGACAGTCTCTGATCCCAGCAGGCTGTCCTTCCAAGGCTGGTACAGATGTCGGGGTCCTTCAGATGAGAGCTTCAGAACCATGCTCCAGCCTCCTCTGCGCAGGACTCCCAGGCACTTTTTGTAAGAATCTGGCCCAGTGTCTTTGGCCAAAAACTCTTCCTCCTCCTCCTTGTCATGCAGTGTTGTGTCGTGCTGTACTGGTCAGTGGTGCATTGGGTTATGTTGTGTTGTGCAGCAGTGTGTTGTGTTATGCTGGGCATTAGTGTGGTGTTGCCCACTTTATGCGTTCAAAAATCGTGAACTTGGATTAAAAATGGTGAGATTTTAAAGTACAAGCACCCCACCTGTATAATTTGTGCCTTCTAGTTTCTGCCCCTTTAGGGTGCATTTTGGTCACATTTGTGAGCCTTTCTGCACAGCTATTGAAGCCTAGATACTTAGCATTGATTAAGGGGGGGGAAAATGAGATTCTTCCCCATTCACCTGACTCCAGGACCTGGGGCTTATAAAAAACACCAAATATCATAAGATTGGCAATAAGATCATGAGCACTGAGCAGTGTGCTATGTGCCAGTCGGCTAGTGTCCTTTGCCCAGAGCTGGCTGCATCACAGCTGTGCTGGCTGTGTACAGCTTGTAAAGCACTTTGGGATCCCTCCAAATCCAGAGTGCTATCTAAGCGTGAGATACTTTTATTGCTTCAGGGCAGAATGAACTTCAGGCTTAAGCCTGCCTCTTGGGTGGGTGTAATATTTTATGCCACCTTCCCACTAGGGAGCAAATAGCCTTTCCTATGGCTGGTTAGCTCTAACGCTAGAGATGCAAAGGAATAAATGGGAGGGAGTTGGCTTACCTCATGGAAGGGGATCTCTAGGGTTTTGAGGCGACGGTCTACCTTGTGGTATGTATCCAGACAGGGAAGGAAGAAGAAAAGGCCTAGGGGAGGAAAAGGCAGAGCAGTGGCATGTGACTGGATGCCATGGAAGAAAGTCCCACTCCCTGACCCAATAGGAGCAAACTTGGGGCTACATAGGACAAGACAAAGACCAAGAGAAGGGCCCAGAGCTGCAGCGTCTCCAGCACTAAACACCTGCCCAGATGTCCTGCTGCAGAAATGGGGGCGGGAAGGAAAATAAACTCTTCCCAAAAGATGTGGCAGACACATCAGACCCTGAGGGGTTCCCCTGGCCACCCAGTGCTAAGGTTTTAGTCACTCGCTGTCCCCCTTCACATGTCCCCACTCAACATGCTGGGTTCTCACTTCACAGGTGAGCCCATGTCTTAGCACCAAGATGGGTCTGAGCTGTAACATTTGGAGCAGGATCCAGATCAGAACAAGCTGTGGGCTGTTTGGATGGGGGTTCTGGCTCAGGCCCATGGCTGCTTAGAGTCCTCACAGCAGGGGCTTTGAGGAGGGGCATGCCAGGCCTTTGGGGTCTTAATGCAAGGGCCCCCCAGGCAGCTAACATGTGGGGAGTGTAGATGGAGCAAGCTGAGCATGGCACATACACGCGAAGGGCCCCGTGAGAGGAGACTGGTAGGGAGACGACCACAACCTGCAGTTGGGAATGGGAAAGGGGCTGCACTTCCGCTTCCTCATGGTTGGGAGGGGGAAGGGAACCAGGGGGCATGAAGCCTGACCCCACCACTTCAGCAGTGGTTGGAGGCCTACAAGTGTTGGGAGCCCCGCAGGAGCTGTCATTGCCAGGAGAGGAGCCAAAACAAGGCTCCCGAGAAATGCCTTCTCCTTTCTTGGCTCGGCTACACTGAGCGGGAGAGGGCTGAGGGAGCCGCAGGCACCGGGCACAGGATTTCCAGATGCTCCTCACCCCACTCATCTCCTGTGGCTGCAGCAGTCCAAGGAGCAGCCAGCCCTGTGAGGAGCCAGTCGCCTGCCCAGCAGAGGGCAGTGCCCGCATTGCCAGCCATTAGCAGACCTGGTCAGAGAGGGAGAGTGCCAGAGCCTGCAGGGGTGGGGTGTTAGGAGGACAAGACCATTGGACGGGGACAGAGGAGAAGGGCGGATCCACCCCATCACAGACTCAGGATAAGCAGAGGCTTGCCTGGGTCAGGATGTACATTTGTGGTGGGTAGGGTGACCAGACAGCAAGTGTGAAAAATCGGGACGGGGGTGGGGGGTAATAGGAGCCTATATAAGAAAAAGCCCCAAATATCGGGACTGTCCCTATAAAATCGGGACGTCTGGTCACCCTAGTGGTGGGTGGGGTGAGAGGGGCACAGGGAGGGGGACACTGGGTGTGGGATCCCCTGGGAACAGTGGGGATGGGGTGGCTGGCCCAGCACTTCTGGTAGCCTTGCGCGAGTGTGGCGAGAGAAAGGGGTGAAGGAGTGAACAAATTGCTTACCGGGCCCTCGGGGCCTTCCAGGAAGGAGGCGCCCAAGTCGGAACACGATGGCTCTCTCGTACTCCCGCACGATCTGCAGTGGGAGACAGAGAGGCTGGAATTGGAGGGGGTGGGGCTCTGGGGGAAGGGCTGCAGCATTGGAAGAGAAGCTGGCGAAATCATTGTTTTGGGAAACTGCACAGAGCCAGCCAGCCAGAGCTGTCGGCTGGTGTAGCTCCATTCACGCTAGAGCTGCTATCTCCATTTACACTAGCTGAGAATCTGGCTCAGAGACTATATGGCAATTGCAACTGTGGCCTGCTCCCGGCCCCTGGAACTGAGCAGGGAAAATGATCCCCTTCAGGGCCTAGGCAGCTTAGAGGAGGAAGCCACTTGAATCAAATGCAGAGGGGGCAAGAGCCAGATCTGGGGTGGGGCGAGTACATTGGGATGAAGAATTCTGGGAGGGATGCTGGGGTGGGGAATGACTGGGACTGTGCATTGGGGTCGGGGGGAGACTGTGATTGGCTGTGCAAGGAGACTACGACAGGGAGCTGGGGATGGGACTGAGAGCCACTGAGGGGGAGACTGAAATCAGATGGGGAGCTGGGGGAGACTGGGAGTGGGAAGCAGTGTAGTGGGGGAGGGGAGACAGATCTCAGAGGAGCCAGGGTGCAAGGAGACAACGGACTGGCTGAGCAGAGAGCCTGGGGCAAGGAGTCAGATTTGGGGAGGGACACTGAGATTAGGCTGGGGTGGGAAACTGGGACTGGGAGCCAGTGGGGATGGGGACTGTGGACATAGGAGGCTGAGTGGGAGACAGAGACAGATGGGTTGAGGAGCTGGGAGCAGGGAACTGGGATGGCTCGGCAAAGGAGATGGGGACTGGGATGAAAAGTCTGAGGAGTGGAGATGGGGACTGGCTAGGTGAGGTGGATAGGACTAGGACAAGGAGCCCAGGGTAAGGACGGGACAGGACCAGGTTGGAGGGGAATGGGCAGAAGAGTCTGCACACTAGACCACACTCCCCTCCACAGTCTGGAATGGAACCCCAGGTCCTTGAGACCATAGGTGCTGATGGTGTGGCAGCACCCGCTGGCTTGAACCCCTGGCTTGAAGTAGTACTAACAACCAAATACATGGTAATACCATTCCTTTGCTGTCAGCAAATATCTGGGAAACCACCTGGCTGTGTCTCATCCCCCTCTAGTGCTGGGCCATATAGAGGATAACAACCAACTACTGCCATCAGTTACTCCCTTAGCTCAAGTGGCAGAGGGCTAAGTGGTGTATGTAAAGGTTCTGACCCCGCTGAGGACTTACATGGGTGTCAGTATGATGCCACATGATGAAATTTCTGTGTTTTCAGTTTGCTTTTTTAAAACTCTAGGAAATTACAAAGCTATGTTAAAATACCACAGTAAGGTTGCAAAGTCAAGCGCACCCTGCATAGCCTCACCTTCATGCAGAACCAGACAGAAATGGGGAAGGTCAATATGATGAAGAGAAGGGACAAGATGGTAAGAAGCCATTCACAGATACCTCGACCAGGAGATGTCATCCCTAAAGAAAAATAAAGAAAGAATGCATTAGCGGGTGCCTATTTCCATATTACTGACCAATTGACACCTTCTTGCATGGTCAGAAATCCAGCTTTCACCAGGTGATCAAAACCTGCTCAGAGATAGGCAGGTGTAATCACCTGGGCTGGAATTTGACCAAGACACCGGTGTCAGCATTCAGGGCCTGGCCTAAAAGGGTAAAAACATGGTTGTGTGTGAGCATTTTTGGGGCAGAGGGCTGCACCACCATATATATTCTAACAGCACCATGGGAAACAAGTGCTGACCACCACTACTGCTGGTACTGTACCTTAAATATTCATTAGAAATACTCTGAAAGTCCTAGCAAGGAAGGGGCATTCATTGTGCCCCATTTCCCAGGTGCAGCCTTTGCCAGCATCTCTCCCGTCTGGGTAGTGTAGCTCCTCTGGTGGGCTGGGTATAAAGCTTTTTTCTGGTGCCCTCCTGGAATGAGCGCTGGCTTTGTCTGGTTCATGTGTCCAGCTGGGAGTCTGCCCTGGGGCTCTGATGCTCATGGGCAATGGAATCGTCCCAAACACACAGCGATTCAGGTGAAAGCTATACTCCTCTCAGCTGTTTTAAGCAGAGCCCACATTATTCATCTGGGACTAGTACAGGGGGATCTCAGGCTGTGCCTGTGTGTCCCTTTGAAATGGATTCCAGCTGCAATCTCAACCCTATTGAGTGTAGCACTGTGCATGGGTGTGTCTGCTAATCCCCACCAATAGGAGGGACTACAGGCTGCAGCCCAAACCCCAGGCTTGTGGTTTTGGCAGGCCAGGGCATGCCACTTTTCCATGGGTGCCCTTAGGAACAAAGGCCCAGATCCTCCAAGGTTTTAATGGGAGTTAGGTGCCAAAATACCTCTGAGGATTTGGGCCAAAGTCTTTGTGCCATGGCATGAGGCCACAGTGTGAAATGCAAGCTGCAAAGAACACATGCTCTGGGGGGGAGGGGAGGGAGAAGGGGAGTGTTGCTGGAACATGGGAAGAAGGGTGAGACCAGCGGCTTCCCCATGGTTGGTCTAAGAGTCCTGAGCTCAAGGAGCCCATTGAAGACCTTTGGCAGGGCTGGCAGCTGGCTGTGGGTCTGCATGTTTACTGACCTGATGGTAGTGTCTGATTCACTCCTTGACAAGGCTGTTCCCTGGGCAGTGAATCACTAGAGGACACCCAGTGCAAGGAGAAGTTGCAACAGCTCTTTCTTTTGTGCCAGCTTTATGGGCCTGGGGATCCACAGCACAAGCAGGAGCAACGGCTGCTGCCCCACTGCACTGTGCTTCAACCCTGACCCACTGGAACCACTCAGAGGCTATCACCTACCCCCATTCGTTAGCAGTATTGCTTGAGGCCTGGCCCCACGGTGCTAGGGATACGCACAGTAAGAGACAGTCCCTGCCCCAAACAATAGACAAAGGAAGTGCTGTTATCCCCATTTTACAGAGGGGGAACTGAGGCACAGAGAGACTAAAGTGACTTTCCCCATGGGGAATTTGTGGCAGAACTGGGCACTGAACCCAGCTCTCCCAATGCCCAGGCCAATCCCTTAGCTCAGAGACAATCCTGCTGCTTGGAAGTTATTAAGTCTTTGGCCTTTATGTGGATGGTGCCACTAGAGCTAAAGCCCCTGGTGAATTCTGTGATGTGGGCATCTCTCCTGTGGGACATAATGTTACCCAAGGATCATCAAACAGATATTAGAGGGAAACAACTCTTATTCCCCAGCAACCCCAGGTGGATGGGCAGTGACTTCCAGATGAAAGGCTACCTGGGCTCCTACTAATTCTCTGATCCTTGCCATCCTTCAGTGTTAATGCTGCGACTTAGAGCAACAAATGAGCCTTTCCCAGAAATTCTGGCTCTTAACTTTGTCTGAGCTGTAGGACTGGATTAATTGCTATTTATGGAGGAAGATACAAAAGTGAGACCTGGCTTTTGTCTATATTGGTTGGTGTGTGTGGAGACAGACAGACAGCATAAAGGCTTACAATAAAAGAATGGTTGTCTGAGCTCAGCTGTTTATTTACTAATGGACAGTACAGGAAGGAGGAAGATCAGAAAGCAGAGATCATTTTAAACAGACATCTTATGTGTCCTGTGTGAGGATAACTCTGTTTTCTCTGTAACCTACCAGCTCCTGCATTTATAGCCCCTTCCATTCAGGAATGAGGTAAGCCTCACACACTCCCTGTGACATAGATTATTTCCCCTACTTAACAGATAGGAAAGCTCACTCTCCCAGGCTTACTCATACACACCCACTCTGTGGCCCAGCTGGGACCAGAACCCCACTCTTCTGCTATCAGGCAGGTGCTCTGTCTACTAGGCTACATTGGCTCCCCTGGTTTTGTCTTTAAAATATTCCCCCTTTGAACTTTCCTCTCTGACCTGCTGTCGGTAGGCAGGTATGAAGGAGATCAAGAGCCTCCTTCTCCTACTGAGCTGATGCTAACTCCACCTTCTCCCCAAAGTGGGCATGCTCCAGCTTCCACTGGCTGCCCTTAAAAGCTGGTCTTTCAGAGCTACTGCCCCCTTTAGAGGACCCTTGGCTCTAGTGGGCAGATGGCTTCCTGCTGGGTGCAGGCATGGCCATGAAAGTGGAATGCTTACTCTTTCCAAAGGTGAGTTAACATCCCTGCTTCCATTGACCACTACAGTCTCTTCTGCCTTGAGGGGCTCTCTGCAGAAAGGCCAGGCCTAGAGAGGAGCTTGAACCTAAGCCCCAGATGCCATTACACCAAGCTTTAAGGGTTCAGAGTCTGTATCTGAGTTTTGCAGCTGGATCTTCTCCCTACAACAAGCTGAACTAAACCTGTGGCTGGCAACACTCCCAAACTGTGTGTGTCCTCAGAATCTCCGGCAATGCTCTGATTGTGTGGTTTGGTTTCTTGGTTGTAGCAACGAGAAGCTCCCTGTAATCAAGACAGAACTCTTTGGAGGAAGGAGGCCGCTGTAAAGAATTAATCATCAAAGAGAGAGAAACCAAGCTGGGGCAGCAGAGCAGCTGGACTGGGGAGGGTTTTTGCTGCTTCTTGAAGTTCCCTCCCATCCCTGTGATGCCAGGACTGAACAGATCAGTTCTATGGATAAAGCATGTGCCTATTGGAAGTACAGTGCCAATGTACAAAGGCTGAGAGGCAAAGAGCTCTGTTGATCATCTCACACTTCCTCTCCTTCCCCCCCTGTGCCAAATCCCTGCCCCTGGAACTGGCCACCTCCATCTGTTTTCTGTGGCAATAGGTTGGTTCAGGTGTGTTCTGGGCAGAGCAAGGCTTAAGAGCCACCTAGGATAACTCTAGCTAGAAACGTTTTCCATCTAAGGGTGGTAAATAATCCCCTGTGCTTCTCAGATCTAAGGGGTAATATAGCCAGCGAGGCCATGGCCTAATGAAACTCATGAGCAGCGCTCTGAGGCCTAGAGGGATGCAGAGTGGATGCTGCTCGCTGCTAAATTCATTGCTTTATTAGAAATGGAACAGGTCCTGATGTCTCTGAGCAGCCTGGCTAGCCCCAGGTCTGGTGCTGAGCCCTTCTGAAAATCTAGCCTTTGTGTGATCACTTGCTCCTGTGTCATGCACTTATTGCACCTGCTTTGCTCTCCCTTTGCACTGGTGTAAACGACGATACAGGGATCAGACCAGAATTGAACCCCAGTGCCTCACAAGCTAGTAGCCTCTGTGCCTAGTGCTCTCCTGCCCTTTCCAAATCCTACCTTCCTCTTGCTGCTCGCTTTCCAGCAGTGCCATCACCTCTGTTTCCTCGTCGAAAGACACGACATCATCCACGTCCACCACCGTGGAGCTCGGCACTCTGCTGTCTGTCTCTGTGGGGCTCTTCCCCTCTTTGGCTTTCCCCCTCTTGAGCCCCTCTCTGTCCTTGCTGGCTCCTCTTCTGCTCTCCACCTTCTCTCTCCTGCCCTGTGAGTCTGCGGGCTCTCTGGTCCTCCGGTGGGACTCCCTGGAGGAGCTGCGAGACCGCTTTTCCATCCTCATCAGGGCTGTGAGCGGAGGAGCATGCAGCTCTTGGGAAGCAGCTTGCTGCGGCGGCAGGATGACCGGTCTTGGGAATTTATTGGGGAGTGGAGGAGGTGGCAGGCGGGGGAGGCGCAGGAGGTTTTGAGCACGCTCTGGGCTTGTTAGACTTGTTGGACAGTGAGCCAAGCAAGCTGTTTTCCAGACACTGTCCTATCCCCCACCTACGCGGCACTGGCAGGGGAGTTTCAGGAAGGCTCAGCCCTCACCACTCAGATGCCAAGATGATGGAATCTATGATGAGGGTCTGTGTGCTCTTGCATGACTTTGGCATAAAATGCGTTGACACTCACACAAAGGGGCCTTATTTGTGCATCTCTAAAGTAACTCCTCTTCCCCCCCCCCCCCCCAGTGCAGCCATCTGGCTCGTCAGGCTTCTGACTCTCCTGACCTCACTAGCACCATGACTTGGGTGGAGAATCTCAAACCTTTGCTGTTGAAAGCAACTGCCCAAGTCAAATCCTGACTATTCCCCATGTTTAGAAACTATCTCCATTGGGCTTGGGATGGGGGATTGCTCCCCACTGGTTCTGCTCTCTAGAAACTGGTGGTTGGGTTCCCAATGCAGCAGGGGCACATTGACATACAGTTGTTCTCATCTGAATGTAACAACTACGTTGCTTTTCAAATTCAAGTGAGGCAGTTTGACGCCAATCCAGCAACGTGCTCCCTTGAGCCGAGCTCGGTTGAATTTAGTGCGGCTCCATTAGGGCTCAGGGCATGGGACTCATTGCAGGATTAACAATAATAATACCCTTTTCTAGAGATTTTCATCAGTAGATCTCCAAATGCTTTACGTAGGAGGTCAGAGTCATCGTCCCCATTTTACAGCTGGGGACACTGAGGTATGGGGCCTTTAAGACTCTTGTTTAAATGACAGAACTGTAACTTTGTGCCTGAAATAGTTCCTCAGAGTCTCAAGATGTGAAGTGTCATGGGGGGTACGATAATCTGCGTACGTAACTCACATACTCAGCAGCGGTGTGAAGGACGCCCTTTCACTTGCATGCTAGATCAGAGGTCCCATTGGGTTGTCAGTACATGCCTGTTAGCAGGGAGAGGGTTAATTCTTACAGGGTAAACTGCATAAAGCTTTTCACTCAGGCCTCTGGGAGAGGAAAATTCTGTTTTGTGGCGGTTTAAATTTGGGGCTCACAGAAATTGGTTTCAATTGATTGAGGTTTTCCCTCTTCCTGAGTTAACAAAGTTTATTTTTTTTAAATTAGGCATCCACTTAGCAGAGGAATGACAAGCCCAGGGTTATGTTCGTTCACCTCCGGCCTCCGAAACTAGAATGAAACAGAAATGCCCTGAGCGCCTGTCTTCTGCTTTGGTTTCTTTCTCTGTTTCTCTTCCCCCCCCCCAACTTCCCTTGGTTCTCATTGGTACCTGCTATTAGACTATAACTGTTCCTTTCTGCAGTTCCCGTTGATATCCTTCACTTCCTGTCCCAGACCATTGCCAAATGTTGCTGTGCGCTGATACCTAGTAGCAGTATTCTGCCCACAGAAGGGGCTGCATTTTGTTGGTGGGCAAAGTAACAATACAGCAGCCTTCATTTCTATATGGTGCCAGAAGTCTGGCTGGCCCTTTGTAGATCTGTATGAAGCACAGGAAACTTATGTATGCACATTTAAATTGTTGTAAATAACAGTATTTAGTGTGGGATGTTGAAGTTAATGGCTATACTAAAGAAAATAAGTATCTTCTTATAGAGAACATTGGAATGAATTCTTGTGCTGCTGAAAATTCAACCCTGCTTGACCCTTGATGTTAAAGAAATAAAAAATGAGCAGCTGAAATGTTCAAGCCTCTTTCCATTAAAATGAAACTAAGTGACTTTATATTTGCAGGAGTAATCCCCTTCCCCAGAGAAATCTTCCCCAACCAAGTGACTTGGTACGCCCAGCTTCTAGACTAGCAGCTATGACCATAGTCTGACTTCTGCTTGTGACACCTTGGTAGGTTCAGCCTCGTCCGGCCCAGACACTGTTGCCCTAGTGTTGGGGATGCAAGCACTGGAGATCTCCCATCAGCTGCATTGCCAGACAAGGGAAGCCAGTGCAAGGAGGATGTTAGAGTCTACTAGGGTGACCATACATCCTGTTTTGGCCAGGATAGTCCCTTTTTTAAAGTCCTGTCCTGTCTCAAATTTTTGGGCAAAACTGGGCATTTGTCCCGTGTGGACAAATTTTTGGGCAAAACTGGGCATTTGTCCCGTGTCCCGTGTCCCGAGGGGAGGGATAGCTCAGTGGTTTGAGCATTGGCCTGCTAACCCCAGGGTTGTGAGTTCAATCCTTCAGGGGGCCACTTAGGGATCTGGGGCAAAATCAGTATTTGGTCCTGCTAGTGAAGGCAGGGGGCTGGACTCGATGACCTTTCAAGGTCCCTTCCAGTTCTAGAACATAGGATATCTCCATAGGATAGGATAT